TAAGCAGCGAGGACGAAAAAAAAGAGTCATATACGCCTAGATTCGGCAAGTACTCACACCGGTTAATTAAGGCATAGTGTGAAGAAAAGGAGTACTCCGGTGGGTACGGGGATTCAGGGCAGCGAGTCCGCGTAGGACGCAGCTGCCTCCGGTGTGTTAAATCTCTTCTCCTTGCCGTTGGCAAACAGCCTCAGTGTGGCGGGGTAGAGAAGCGCATAATCCACATTCTTCTTCCTCAGGCAGCTTTTCACCTCGTCGAAAGCCTTGCGTTTCTTGGCTACCGCCGCTGAATAATCATTAAAGAAGGAGACTTTGATCCGACTTGTTGGTTGGTTCGGCTGCGTAGCCAGGCGCCGAGCTGCGGCCATCACACGTTGTTTATCAGCAAAGTTGTGAAGCTTCATAATGATGGGTCTGGCGCGCTGGCTGGGGCCCGGCCTCGGTGCTAGAGAGCGGTGAGCGCGGTCTAGTTTGATCTTCCCATTTTTAGTTGTGAGCTCGAGATAGGAGGGGAGCCATGACTCCATGAAGGCGACAACATCATTTCCCTCCGTGCCCTCGGGAAGCCCGACCAGGCGAAGGTTACGTCTGTGGCTGCGGTTCTCTAAATCGTCCATGTGGTCTGCCATGTCAGTTACTTGTTTTTCGAGTCGAGCCACTTTCGCCTGCAATACACCTGCCGTGTCTTCCACGCCTGAAATCCGTATCTCGGCGTCTCCCACCCGTGTCGCCAGAGCCTGGATCCGAGACGTCTGTTCACGGATTGCGGCCAGCACAGTATCAACTTTAACATCCAATAAAGTTGTAATGCTGTCAGTTATCTTACTCAGAGCTGCAAGGATATTCGGGTCGATATCACTCCCAGTTTCCTCAGCGTCAGCGGAGATTTCTGTGTCGCTGGCGTTAGCTTCTTCAGGCTCAGCCGCCATAGGACCCACAATGTCGCTAGCTTGCACAACCGGAGCTGTCTTTTTCTTAGACCTGATGTTAGGCATTTTAGAAAAATAGTCGTCCAGACTCATTATAGAGTTACTCCCACGCACATTTGTAACGTTTCACCAGGTGAACACGTATTTTAGACGGATAATCGGGGGACCTCACCGGAGCACAGCGAGACGGGTGTTCGCGCTACGACGCCATCTTGCCAACCCCCAGCTAGTTAGTTTTAATGTTACTCTTATTATTCTTTCTGGGTCACAAAATAAACGTTTAACATATTTTCAGGCAAGAATGTAGCTGTGTAAACCTCAAATATCTGCTCAGTTTATCAAGACACCACATATTTTCAAAAGCGCTCCGGCGTTTTCGGAGACGTCTGTTACCCACTAGCTCGATAGCTAGCCGGGGGCAAGGCTCACTAGAGCCCGTGAGAACACCGGACTCCCGGCAAATCGTTTTCAAACCCACCGCGGTCTTTCGCTACTCAGGTTAAACATGATATATGAGTCACTTAGATAACTTGGAAATGTTATTGTTTGGCTTATTTTTAGTGTTTTATTTGTTCCTGAGTTAATCGGTTTGGCTGAGATCAAAGTTATAGTTTTTACACAGCTGAATAAACGTCAAGCAGACAGCTGATTATCAGAAGTGTGAGATGCTCGAGAATATACTCCAGTGTCCTGTTATATTTTAGATAGCAAGGAGTTTATTAAACTTCACTGAAACAATCTGCAAATTTCATTCAAATTTAATAAACTATCATCTTGTCTTTATTTTTAGTTAGCACATACCTTAAACACTTAAAGCTGTAAGCTAATGATAGTTATATAAGAGCAGATGCTGCTGGTGCAATAAGCTGTAGTTTTACGTCTAATACTTGCATGATCTGATTAGTCGACTAATCGCAAAAATAATCTGTGACTAGTCGACTATCAAAATAATTGTTTGTGGCAGCCCTAAAAGTAGTTAATAAAAAGATGGGATATTTCAGTCATTGAAAAGTGTCTTAGATTAGTAATTTAGAAGTACAGTCTTAAATCCCCCCTTATTTCTTTATATTTTGCTAGGATAATGGAAAAAGGGGTGCAATGATTTACTGAAACACGCAAACATCCATGGAAATACAATATATAAGGCAAAGAGAGAGTTAATTAAATTCTACTGAGCTTAAAACTCAACATTTGGTAAGACCAACTTTATCTTGAGCACAGCCTGAACTCTCTAAGCAAACCTTTCTTGGCATTTCCTGAAGTAATCCTCAGAAATAGATCTCAAAGCTTCTTGAAGGACATTCAAAGCTCTTCTTTGGATGTTGGCTGCCTGTTCAGTTCAGCAATGTTGCTGATTGGACTCCGGGGACAGTGACTGTTGTGTCTGAGTGATGGTGTTTCACTGTGTGTTTTCTCTATCCAGGTATATTTTTACTGCATTGACGGTTTGTTCGGGATCGTAATGTTAAAAAAAATGAAAGTGCTGCCAGTCAGATAGTTTCCTGATGGTATTGCTTGATAGATCAAAATTTGAAGTGAATGAAATACAGCCAAAATCATGACACAGCCTCCACTGTGTTTTACAGATGGCTCCAGACACTCACTGTTGTATGTTTTTCCTGACTTCCTCCAGACGGGTTGAACCAAAAATTTCAAATGCGCTTTCATCACTCCGTCAGCCCTGCAGCCGCTAATTTTCAGCCCAGTGGTATTTGGCCTTTTCTACCCCGTTTCCCTTCATTAAGAATTTTTGATTCAATGAAGAGTGGATGGATCTCAAGTCTGTTCATTTTCTTTTTAGGCTTGCTACTTCTTTTGTCCTCCATGTATCCAGTTTCCTTAATAATGCCAAGATACTCACATACAAGTTATATGAATCCACAACAGTAGTTCATCCTTGAGTCGAGTAACTTTTTTTTCATATACTTGAATGTATCATAGGTCAGTGTTAAAGGGCTTAACAAAACAAAAATTCCTCTGAAAATGGTCAGGTACAAGGACTGGAGAGAAAAGGCGACTTTTAATGGTTTAATGAAAAACTTTGAAAGGCCTTCAGAAAGCCTGGAGCACTATTGATCAAAAAATTTTTTTAAAAATTACAAGAAAGTCTGTCTTCTTGGAGGAAAAAGATAAAGACATGATTCAAGATTTTTGCACAGTAGAATACAATTGGATCCAATATCTACCAGGATTGTTCAATTTTAAAGTAAAATACCATTTCACGGCCCTTTACTTTATTTGAAAGTCACCAAGAGCAGTTCACATTTCTGTCCTCCTCTCATTTGTAGCAGGCACTAGCAAACTGTTGTGTCCAGTAAGAGTAATGTAAGAGTAAAGTTTCTGCTTCTATAATTTCTTGATGTATTTTTCCTGTATGGCGTAATCCCTGTTGGAAGCAAGCACTTCCAGTCACACAGAAGAACAGAGATATGGGTAAATTTCAGTCACCTTGATTTCCCCTAGTGACAAAAATGGAGGTTAGCAGGAAAACAATTCAAGTGCTCGTCATTCACATGAGAAGGCTGTTATAGGAAGTCACAAAGCATTATTCCAGCGCTTGTGACGCTGCCAAACGTTGGTTTTTGTTTTTATTTTTCTCTCAAAGAAATAAGAGTGATTGTCTTGTCTTTGGAGCTGAACACAGATTGAGTGTGATGTGTCATACACTATTACAGCGTGCTGAAGATGCATCACTTCTTTGATCCTTAGTTTCCTCAAAAAAAAGATGCTTGCTCAAAGTTATCAAACACTCACACGACAATGTTTTTGTGTGATTCGTTATGAATATTAATGCAGAAAATGAGTCCTTAAAAAAACTGAATTTATACGAGGGGTATGATTTTTTTTCTTTTTTTTTTTAAAGAAGGAAGACGCAGGTGTTGTGATTGAAGCAGGCTTTGTAGAAGGGCTTCACATTAACATCAGCTCATTCTTTGCTTCGATTTGTTCACACGTCGCAAGGGAGCACAGCTATTTTCTTGCAGGCTTTCGACAGACGTGTTTGGAGAAGGAAAATTTCTCAAGGGTGGAAAATTTGTATTTTTTTGTCTCGTTTGGTAATAGCTGAATACATTTTGTAGATAGACTGCAATAATGGATGTGTCAAAACAGAACAAAAAGGAATTGTGTAGTGAGGAAAACGCTTCACCTGGAGGACGCAGCATGCCGACTCCCCAGTCCCAGGAGAGTCTGCCGGCTCCATGTGTCTTGTGTCCATGTATGTTGCTCATGTTGCACTCATAAAATATTTGCACATTTCAATATTTTCCTTCCTTTCCTCAGTTTCGCATCAGGATTGCCTGAATGTTTAAATGTAATTAGCCATTAAGTGGAATAGTTAATATTGAAGGTGCTATAGAACATTACCGTAGTTCATTTTAAAGCAAAGTGTGGAAAATACTGTGAGGCCTGAGACTGAAAACTGGACTGGAGAATATAAAGTCAGCACAAGCAGCTGGTTAGCAAAGCAAAAACTGGAACTAGGAGACGTGGTCCTCCATTTGGATGTCATTTTTATACTTTTGTATTAAATTAATTGAGCTTCAATATCGGGGTGAATTTGTTACCTTTCCCCCTACTTTCCTGGTTTTAATAATAAGCTGAGCTAACTGACTTCTGGCTCCAGCTACAAATTTAGCAAATAGACGTGACTTTTCAAATTCTCACCAAGACGGCAAATAACTGTATTTCTTTTGAATGTCCAGTTATCCCTTTCAGTTAGAGTCACTATTTAAGTGTAAGCACTTCTACTAATTTGTTACATTATTAGTGTGCGGTATTTTCAGGTGGCTTTAAGAGTGTAGAGTCTTTGAAATACACACTCTTTGATGTGTAAAGGAAATGTCCATTTGCTATAATAGTCTTTTCCTTAGAGGCAGTGTCAAAACCACATACCTTAGTGAGCCTGAAATAATTAAGACCAGCAGACTGAGGGGACACCCTGGAGTTCATTACTTTCAGGTTTTGGAAATGGTAATTAGGTTTTTTTTTTTAATGTCTGGATTCTGCTTCCTCTTTCTCACTTGTTCTATTTTTCCCCCATTGCTGTCTTTTACCCATCCCTTACCGTAGTGGTTTGCTTTGATGCTAAGATCAACTTTGATGACAACGCTGAGTTCCGTCAGAAAAACGTGTTTGCCATGGATGACATGACGGAGGCCGACCCCACGGAGATGGCTGCAGCAAAGTGGGACCTTAAATATATCGGACTGGATGGGAACATTGCCTGCTTTGGTAAGGAAGCGAATCTCTCCATCAGACCCGACACACCTGCTTGCACATACACCACCCAATAAAGGAGTTTTCCCCTCCTGCCATGTGGCTTTAATGTGTCTCTTAAGTAGAGTAAGCGAAAAGCTCAGACACAGTTAAAACTTAGTCAAACTAACGGCAGTCTGTGCTCTCCTCCAGTCCACATTACAAGCAGCTTTCTGAAGACTCCAGAAGGATTGCTGCCATAACCAATGCGTTCTAATTAGCTATAATCCACCCAGAAAGTCTCCTGTGAGCCAGATTGTTAGCATTCTCATTAAAGGCCCCCTCTCTTGTCATAAATCAAAGCTTTTACAGTGTACAACTGCACTAACAGGTGCTCTCACTTCTTACCCCGTAGCCTCATAAACACATTAGTTGTCTGTTAACACTTCTCCTCCATTCTGCACACAAACCCCATTCTGCATCCCCAGCTCCCAGGCTCTCCTAAAGTAACAACAGCTTTTAAGGCCCCGCAGCTTCCTTGAGAGCTCCGTAAGCCACCAAAGTGACAGCTGTTAAAGCGAATTTCCCTTTTATTGAGACCTCGGTTGGGGAGCTTGCCAGGACGCAAGTTCAGCTTGGCTAAACCAAATTATGTAGGACATTTTTGTGCACTTGGCTCCTGCACAACTCAGCAGGGCAGAGGCACAGGCAGTTGGCTAAATGATGACATAGTCCACAGTCCAAAAGCATAGCACAACCTCTTCTAATCAACACTCTCTTCTCTGAAGTCGGGAGCTGAGTTGTAATCAAATTTTCTCTGTGTTGCTTGACTTGAATGTTTCTGATTAGAAGATTTCCAGCAGATTCACTTTTTAAGTGTGGCATTTTTTTCCAGCTATTTGCTCGTATTTAGTGGATGACTTAGCACTGAATTCCTTTGCGGGTTATTATAGTTCATGCCATCTTTCCTTCAGTGTCAGTAATGTTACTTTAATTAACTCGTGTCTGCATGTATCGCACTTTGTTCTCAGGCACGTCTGTTTCAATATCCGAATATTAGCCTTTATTTAATGTTCAAATTGTTATACTTTAGCCTCAATTATCGTTAACACAAATATGTGAAAGTGCATAAAAACGAGTGCCTAATTATTACATTACATTGTCGTAACAGTGAATGGAGCTGGTTTGGCCATGGCCACGTGTGACATCATTGACCTGCATGGAGGAAAGCCAGCAAACTTCCTGGACCTGGGTGGTGGAGTCAAAGAGAAACAGGTGTACGAGGCTTTTAAGCTGCTCACTGCCGACCCAAAGGTAGGAACAAACTGTTAACAAAGAGGTCGCTTGCCTGCTTCTTGAACAGCTTGACTGTAACAGTTGAGTACATAAGCTAAATTGGTTACTGATTTTTAAAGCACAGCTTGGAAGAAAAAGCAATTTTACCACCTGTTGAATTGCGTTTGATATTGCAGTCATGTATTTTGTCACAGTACATTCATAAAGCTCTATCTGTCTGGTTAGAGCTTTGTCAGTGCAACTCATTAGTCTGGGGGCTTGGCATATGCCCATGTTTAACTTAGGAAAACAGACTCTGGGAGGCTGTGTGATTATATGCCATCATTTCAGTTACTGTGGCATGATAAATTGGCGCTCTGTATTCTGCAGTAACTGCGCTTGTAAAGAAAGGCTAAGACGTGCAACCGCGTGCGCTGTGAACACGCAATAACGGGCGCATATGCAGCTCAGATTTAATGCACATATAAAACTTTAAATGAAAAGCATGCGACAGAAATTCTCGCGGCTGTGAATGAGTGGCAGCTCGGGGTGTTTTACAAGTGATTCTGCTCCATGTTCGGAAAGCTAATAATTCCAAGCTAAACAACGTAAGCCTTGTAACGATACCGCAGTGCTGATTGTGTGTTGACAGTTATCACATCGCTAAATCCCTCACTGCTGTCACTCCTGTATCCCAGGAATGATCACGGGTTCGCTCTCTGGGGCGTCTCTACTTGGTTGTGTTGAATACAGAGTAGAATTAGATTGAAATTCAGTCCTCAGCTCACTTTTTTTTAAAAAATCTTTCTTTAAAAAAAGCACATGCTGACTTGATTTGGCAGTAAATATTTTTGAAGAATTAGCTTCGCATCTAGTTTAAAAAGCTGTCTTGCCAGCTGGAATTTCCTCAAATGGCTTTCCAGGATAGGTTACTAAACAATACAGCTACAGTACGCTGTAAGTGCATGTGATACATAGTCTAGTCTTAAAATAGATATTCTGTATATATTACACATACCAGAAAGCTTTATTTCATCTAAAGCTCATTCGAAACACTGAAGTAGGATTTTTCATGGTAGCAGTGTTGCACACCTTTTGTTGATGAATGTTAAAAACTTGCTAACCTTAACACTCCAGCAGGTGATACATTGCCTGACTCGAAAAATCCACTGTGTGATCGATTTTGGTCTCACAAAATCAGCCCGGCAGACTGTGGAGAAAAATGAATATGGTGGTTAAAAAAGAAATGCAATCAACAGGGGAGATTTGCTGCTCTCTTCCCCTGAGGGAGCCACATTTTTATTATTATTATACCCTTTTAAAACAAGTTGGATATCTTCAAAGGTGAGATCAGGTTTTAGTCTGTATCCACTGGCCCCCTCACCATCAAACACTCCTCCTGTTCCTCTTTCTCTCTCTTTTTTTTTTTTGTCTTGGGTTGATTCCCCAAATCCAGATGGGGGAGTAGACCTGCTGCCTGTCCCTCCTGCTGCTGTGTATGGAAACGGAGACGGGAAGCTCCTCCCTAACAGGGAAAAAAAATAGAGGAGGATTGACATTAAACTGGGTTGGAAGCACCATTAGCATTTCAACCAGGGGAGCTGAGAAACCTGCTCTGATCTGTGGAGGGAATGTTAATCATTTCACAATAAGAGCATGCTGCTCATTTGCATTTGGTTTTTCTTTTTTTCCTCCCCACAAATTACTACTCCCAAATATTTAAAGGATATATGAGCAGTAAGTAACAGTAAAATCATACCCTGGGTAAACGTGGATGGGATGAGGTGCCGAGGCAAAATTGATCGGCTCGGAGCGTCAGTAAATTCTGTTTTTCCTTATTTGCCTTAAACATCAAGGCTTCAGTGCTTATTTCCTTCAAATGCGCAGCCCTTTGTTTAGTATTTATTCAAAGTTTAGAGTCTCAGACAGCCTGGTCTACTTGCATTTCACATCATTATTTTTCTACTGATTTAAAAAAACAAAACTTTTGCTGCTTTTGCATAATAGTGTTGATAGAGTGCCTTATAGGAATGCTTACTTCCACTGGCACTGAATAAAATGAGTTTGGTAGCTGCTGTGAGGAAGGCCAGAAATGTTCTGTTGCATATGTGAAAATGTGTTTTGTTTTTTTTTATTAGGAACCACTGCAACTTTTGAGTGCCAAGATTAAAATGGTTTATGTCCTGCGAAGAAAAAATGATAGAAGCCCATTCAGCAGGAAATATTACACTGTAATGACAGAGAGAAAAAAGAAGGGGAAAAACAGGTATTTTTGGGGTCCGTCTCTTCTTTCTGGCTTTCTTCCTCGGTTGCTTTTTCCGCTTTTGTCTCCCTCCCTCCCCTCTGTCTTCCTCGCGCTCTCTCCCTCTCAATCTCCGCTTTGATGTCTCAGGCTCATTGTGCTGAGAGGAGTGGATGCGACGCGAGTGTACCGCTGGCACTGAATAGCAGAGATGGAGCATGAGATGACAAAGGCTTCCTTTTCTTGTTTGCTCACTTCCCCAGAATCTACCCTTAAAGCATTCATTACCTTCAAATTATTATGTTGTGAATGAAAGGGGAAGAGAAAACCGATAAAATGGAGGGATACCGCATGAGAAGTGGGAACAAGACGAGAAAGAAAGTGGGAATGAAATTAATGCGAGAAAAATAAGCGAATCATAGAGCTGTATGTCAGCCCCCCCACCCCATCCTACCCAAGTGTGTGCAAGTGCGTGTTCGCGTTAACTATGTGAGATGTTATGTAGCTCAGCTGGGTCTACTAGACCAATAAGGTTTGTTTGAATTTAGGCCCCCGGCTTTTTTAACAGGAACATATTTATCTTCCATGCTAAAATAAATAGCTCCACTTTCTTCACATCCACGCGTGGAACAGTTTGATGACAGAATGCCTGAATTTATTAAGGTTTCCCTCACATCACCTGTAGGCACAGGAGCAGGCAGCAAATACCAACAGCCAAATAACCTCGTTATTGCCTTGCGCCTGTGCCGTAAAGAAGGTGGCAGATGGATGTTTTGTCCAACTCAACATCCATTTTGTTCTCCGGGCTTAAGGCTGTTTTCTATCATTTTTATAGGCTAGAGTAAATGATGACATTTTCCTAAAACACACTCTTGTTGTGGCTAGATGCCCGTATCAGGGCCGCCATTATATCAACCTACTAATTGTCAAGGCGGCTTATTTTGTGATTTATTGTGTCGCCGTTACGTAATTAATATTCTATTCAAGTAGGCCGAGCGTTTTCGTAATACTTTAACCTTTCATTCCCATATTCATGCGTCTCACTGCGAGTGCATAAAGGAGCCTTTTTCAAAGGTTTATTACAATGCGAAACATCTAAAGCCCTGATCTTATCCTCGACTACGGCAAACTCTGTGTTTTCAGATGAATGAGAAAATAAGCACGTACGGCAGCCTGTCGGTAAATGAACATGTCGTGCTGACTCACGAGTGTGTGTGTGGGAAGCTTGGTTAACATTACACTGAGTTTGTGCATGTCATGTGTTTACAGATTAGCCTTTCGTTCCAAATTTACTGTAATGCAAACTAAAGTCTGCAGCAGAGAGGCAGCGCGGTGATCCTGGGGATGAATACTGAGGTTCTTTCTGTTTCTTGACCGACAGTTCCCAATTTCCATTTTACAATTTATGAAAACTACAGAATCCAAAGCAGTCCGACTTTAAAAATGAACTGGCTTTCGGTGTAGATAACGTCTTCCCCTTCCAGAATAAGGTGGTGTTGCGGTGTTGCTCGAAGGAGAGTTAAATTTTCAGAGTGAGCGAGCTGTCAGGGTTCTGCCGCCCACTCAGTTGTTTCTGCGTGTGTTCAAAGAGATGGCGATAAAGAAAGAACAAAAGTATAATGTGTTTAAAGTTGTAAATAATATAAAACTGGGAAATTACACATTTATGTATCAAATATGATAATAATGAAAACAGCTATTCCTACATTGTGACCTTAAACATACAGGCAGTGTTTGTTTCTGCGTCTTATGACAGATTTTCTTCTTTCTTCTTTGTACATTGTTACCTTTAGGCTTGTTGCATACTGTAGTAGTTTGTCACATCTCTGCGTTGTTTGAGGTGAAGCAGGCACGCTATGAGGTGGAAGAGGCACAGACGGGCACATTAGCATTAGTCAGCCGGGGGGACCCGCCTCTGAGGCAAAAACAAGAGTCGCGTACATATTCATTTTTTGGCGTTGCATAATCACACTGCCGATCGTGAAACATCTTTTAGCTCGCACTGGTTTGTGTGTGAGTGTGAGTGTGAAGGCAGTTTGAAATGCTGAGACTCACCTGTGTGTATGTAATTTCGAGTTTCTCCCTCAGAGAGCTCTCCCTCCATTCTCACTTGCTCTCTCCCTCCCTCTCGCTCTCTTTGTGTGGGATTATTATGCGTGTCGCTCCAGCCCCCTCATTGCCCTCAAAGAAAACTACACACAATTTTACCTCTTTCCAGCTCAGTGACTCTGCTTTAACTCACCTGTGGTTGCCCTTTAACCACTTTCCTCGTTGTTGCAGTGACACTCCCGAGCCCTGCCGGCTCTAAGCCCCATCTCACCCTCTACAGGGAACACACCACTATTACTACCTTTCCAGCTCTGTCTTATGTTATCTGTGAAACAGTCTTTACTGGTGTTATACACCACTACTTATGTGCTGATGTATACCCAGGCATTTCCTGTCTGCTCCTGCTAGTCTGTCATTTCACTAGTTCTTCTTGTGTTTTCTGCTTCTCCTTCTCCACCTTTTATCTCTCCTTCTTTGTGCTTCTTCTTTCTTCCCAGCAGACTTTCATCTCACTAAATCCTGTTAAAGTCAATGTGAAGAGCTACCTTCAGTTTCATGCCTGCTAGTTAAATCCTGCAGGTGCCCAGGCACTGTTTCTCATCCCTGTATGGAGATGTCTGTACCCGTGTCCAGTGTGCTCCACATGTATGCAGACAGAGAAAAGGGAAGAGGGCTCAGGTCCAAGCCAGGTGAGCCAGAGAAATGTGTCATGAAAAGCCCATCATCCTTTCCTCACTGAAAAGAAGGA